AGGGAGGGTGGTTGAGGGTGGCGTTCTTGCAGCCTGGGGGGACGGCCCCGTTGACAAAGCTCGAGGGCTCGTTCATGTCCTGAAGTGCAAACACGGAGGGAGACTGTTTTCAGAGGGGCCTGTCCAGTGACAGGACACAGAGGACAGTGTGCTCACCGTCCAGCAGTCACGACAGCCACCAGCCTGGGGGATTGCTAGCCTGACACCACTGTGACAAAGGCTCACTAGCCCACGGGAGGGACTGGTGGGTGGAAAGTCACCCAAGATGAACGGGGGCGAGGCGTGGGTGGGTCAGAGCTGCTCCCCTTACCCCTAAGGGGGTGTGGGTGGAGGCCCACAGGCTCCCATGGCAATAATCATCCCCTTGACCAAAGGTCAGGAGCACATACGCCTCCACAGAGACATGCACCGGTACCACAGATAGGCAACATCCACGGAGATGCACACACAAACACGCGGATATTCAGCACACAGACAAGTAGCGTCCATCTGGATGTACACAGATATACACTCACACGTGCAGGCAGCATTAATCTACAAGAGCGCTCAGACACACACACAGTTCACATAAACACTGACGGGCAAAGACGGTCTATGCGTCTACATACATCCCACACATACACCCATACACATCCTAGAAATACACGTCACACACACGACACACAAGCACGCAGACACAGAGTCCTAGAGATGGACCACATACCCACACACACACACACCATATCCACAGCATGCACATCACACACACATACACTACCAGATACCCGCACACTCCTTCAAACACACAACCTCCACACCATAAATAGAGTCCAGGTGTACACACTCCACACACACCATATACAGGCATACAACTTCTGCACACACACAGAGCCCCAAACATACAACTCCTACACCTCACACAAACACATAATTCCACACCCTGCATGCGCGTGCGTGCACACACACACACACACACACACACACACACACACTCCATATACCTCACGCAAACACAAAGCTCCACCACACACACACACTTACAATCCACATGCCGTCGAACTTCAGGCTCTTGCTCGCGTTCTCCGGGTGGTTGTACATTTCTCTCAACTCCCTCTTCCACCACGTGACAGTGGAATTCCGGAAAAAGTCTGGAAAGGCCACGTGGGCGCGGTACAGCTGTAAAACAGGAATCAAGTTCCTCCATCCACACGAGCTTTCAGAGAACAAGCAGGGTGACCGAGAGCACAGGCTCTGCTATGCCCTGAGCGGCGGGGCCAGGACAGAAGGCCAGTCAGTCCTGCTCCTGACAGAGTGGACACGGTGCACACAGGAGACAGGCCAGTCCCCCCCGGGACACAGCTTTGGGAGCCCCCAGAATACTCCTTCTCTTGACTCTAACAGTCCACACCCCAAATCATCACCTCACAAACGAGATGCCCACCCCTCGGCTCCTGCCTGCAGCTCTGAGCGCTCTGCTCAAAGTGTCCGCCCTGGGTGGCCCTGATGGAGTGAGAAGTACCAGTGACCGAGCTTCCAGCACCACGGTGACATGCAGGCCACATGGTGACAGACTGACAGGGGCGGTAGGACGCCTCGGGCGTGTCAGTAAACAGGGGCATCTGAATTATGAAGTGATCTTCTGGATTTACAGGGGAAACAGTGCTGGGGAGGGGAGAGACAGCAAGGACTATGCCCCCCAGGGTCTTCCTTTCTCATGAAGTGACTAGGACGTGAGAGGGAACCTGGTCCTGGTAAAAGGCAAGACAGGATCAGAAGGAAGAGGATGGAAGGACACCAGGACACA